CATTGGTCCTAGACTTAACCATCTACCAGTAGATATCAGAAATATTGCCGGAATAAGTGCCGAAGTTTTGAAGAGAAAACTGGATCACTGCCTCCTCGGTGTGCCTAATCATTCTGGCTTTGATGGATATGTGGGCCACCGACAGCAACAGCCTGGTTGATCAGTCAGTCAACAGGGAGATCTTGCTACTTGACTTTGCTACGCTTTAAGTAAATCAGAATGTTTATAATTGACAAAAGGCATAGCAATCTTGATTATGGAAAATAATGTTTTAATGCTTCCCGCTCAAACATAATAAGCGACAATAATTTTCAACTCGAGGTTAAAAAAAAAAAAAAAAAAAAAAAACTGAGTCCAACGAAGCGTACTGTTTTTTTTTATGAATTGAATAGTAAATACATGGAGTAGATTGCCAGAAGACAGTGTTAGATAACTCTAGTGCTAGATTTGCGGTATTCACTCTCATAGCCTTTCATAAATACCCTCCTATAAATTTGTTTTATTGATATTTTAGCAACGCAAGGTACAGCAGTGACCCTTACAGTAACGCCAGCAACAGTAGCGCTTGTTAACACTTAACGTTTTCAGTGCCGTTGTCTGTTCCAGTTATAGATACTGTTATTAATATGAACCTCACCCTTCGTCTTTTTCTCTATCACCACACCATAGCCACCATTACACCACACCATCTCTGTCACTATCACCCCCTCATAACCACACTCCAGCATCTCTCTTCCGTAGTTAAGTGAAACTTACGCCACATATCCCATTAATTGTTATTGGGAGGGGGAGATTGCAAGAGAATATGGGCTCTGAAAATGAGAGAAGTTAGAGGGGAAGTCGGGATACAGATTGACGAAAATGGGAGATGCGTGTTGTCCCAATCACGCTGGAAAAAAAAAATGAAAGGACATATAGATTGGTCCTCGGGCGAGGGAGGCGTGATGGAGAGAGGCAGGGGATGAGCGGGAGGGTAAACAATAGGGGTGTGAGGGAGGGGGAAGTGGCAGTGGGAGAGCACAGAGTGATAATGATGGTAATTGGAGCAGACTAGAGGGAGAGGGGGAGAGCGTTCCACGATCAATGGATCTGTAATTAGATTAACTGGCAGTGCTTTGCCTCCTAAATTATTACCCCTTCAGCTGGAGAAGACAGCTTGGGAACGGGGTGTTAGGGGCAGAATGGTAAGTGAGGGGGAATTTGAGAGGGGCTTAGAGGAGGGGTGGAGGTTTATTGGAATAGAAGAGAGGGAGGGAAGGGGGTAAGATTCGGGGGAGAAGGGACGATGAGGGTAAGGGTGATATTGAGATTGCTGGTAATGTTTCCCCCCCTCTTGCACTTGGGAAGATGGGAGGGGGGAGACTGTTTCAATGGGGAATTTGACAACATGAAAGGTTACTTATGCGGGGATTTTTCTCTCAGTTTTCATTGTGTGTTAATGAATTGGTACAGGAACACTAAAAGTTTTGAACAATTTGTGCTTCGGAGAAAAAATTTCACTTTAAAGTTTTTGGGATACTGAAAACCAATATGGCCATAATAACAATCGATTGGCTAAAGTTGGCAAGGAAATTTAAACTTTTTTTCGTATATTAGTAACATGCCCGTATTATGAATTATATTTATTCCACCCGACACTTCTTTGTCTAATTACAGTGATGTACTTACTTTTACCCCCTGGTAGATTATTATTATATTATTATAATCAAGGGGGAAGCGCTAAACCTGTAGGATTGTACAGCGCTTGGGAGGGGATGTGGAAGGCATTCAGGCTTAATTCGGGGAACTGGAGTACAGATCCAATTCCCTAAATCAAGAGCCCCTCACCAACATCCCCCCCCCCCGGTAGAGGTTCTCTATGATTGAGACGTCCTGGTACAAACGTTCGCCATCTTAATCACTGATTGCTCAGCAGTTGGCCGGAAATGTATATTTTAAACATATATGGCAACCCATTTTTCTTTTCACTATCTCCCTGTAACTGTCGTCTTTGGTATTTGATAAAATTGGTTACTGCTAACTGGAAGGCGTTCCACACACATTTTTCTCACCGATACGGTCAGACTCCTAATCTTGAATAAGCTCATGAATCTTTGGACCAACAGATACACCCTCCTTGATTTTTTTTTTTTTTTGTCACTGAACCTTGAGAATTTACCTCCGAGGTACCGAAGGGCTGCTACCGTTTTATCAGCAGCCTAGCTTCATATGTAGGGGTAATAACAAAATTAGGATAGTTTCTAAAAGTAGAGGTTATTGATACAGTCCAGTTAGTAGGGACATGTAATTATGCATTGTGCGTTTGAATCTCGAATCTTTTTTAACTGTACAATGTATTTACCCTCCTTCCTTCCCAGGTCAAGGAGAACAACGATATCTTTACAAATAAAGCCTATTTGCAATTAAAAGCACTTTTGTATTCATTCACGCTGTTGTCAGTGTACACTTGGCTAGTTATGGCTTACCGATTTCTGGCCTCCAAGACTGTCATATCTACTCTTAAAACTGTGTATTGTCTGCTTCTATTTCTGTCTCATCTTTCCACTTAACATAATACGACAGAAAAATAATGTCCTCTTGCTTTAGTGAAAGATATTGGAAAAAGTGTGTACGATATCCATTGAAGAACAGGGGTGCCATTAGACAGAACATGTCAACATACGTGGTTCAAAGCTCTTCAGCTACTCGAGGGAAGTTGGATATTATCTCCCGCAAATTCCTGAGCAGCTAGGTTTATGGCTGTGGGCCTGCGGGCAGCTAGCCCAAACAATTTGGTTGTTAGTCTGTTTTACATCGTTTATCTCCATTTTATAGGATTGTTTTCTTTACGCTCGTTTTCAAGACTCCCCTCATCCTCGTTTTCAAGGCTTGCTTCCCCTCATCCTCGTTTTCAAGGCTTGCTTCCCCTCATCCTCGTTTTCAAGGCTTGCTTCCCCTCATCCTCGTTTTCAAGGCTTGCTTCCCCTCATCCTCGTTTTCAAGGCTTGCTTCCCCTCATCCTCGTTTTCAAGGCTTGCTTCCCCTCATCCTCGTTTTCAAGGCTTGCTTCCCCTCATCCTCGTTTTCAAGGCTTGCTTCCCCTCATCCTCGTTTTCAAGGCTTGCTTCCCCTCATCCTCGTTTTCAAGGCTTGCTTCCCCTCATCCTCGTTTTCAAGGCTTGCTTCCCCTCATCCTCGTTTTCAAGGCTTGCTTCTCCTCATCCTCGTTTTCAAGGCTTGCTTCTCCTCATCCTCGTTTTCAAGGCTTGCTTCTCCTCATCCTCGTTTTCAAGGCTTGCTTCCTCATCCTCGTTTTCAAGGCTTGCTTCTCCTCATCCTCGTTTTCAAGGCTTGCTTCCCCTCATCCTCGTTTTCAAGGCTTGCTTCCCCTCATCATCGTTTTGTAGCATTTGACAAATGCGCTCATGGGTTGATTTTACATGAATTGAGGGCGATAGATATAACTGGGAAAGTAAACAAATAGCGTTTTTTCAATTTTGTAAGAGCACAGCGTAGCAGAAAAGAGCAATATCCAGCATTAGTTAAGTAAAAAAAAAAAAAAAAAAAGCTTGGTACCCCAAGACGCGAATCTGGCGCCTCTGCTGTGCATTATCCTCATAGCGGACGTAAATGAAAACACTGCACAGTTTCATATCATTATTTGCAGATACCAAACTGTATACAGTCTGTATACAAAACACAAGATCAAAGAGAATGCAAGGAATATGTGAAAGATATGGGTGTAATAATACCAAAGAAAATAAGGCAAATATTACAAAAGCCAAGAAAATGACGGGGTGGCTGTACATGAATGATGTACACTACCGACAAGATGAGGAATTACACATGTGCGACATCTAGGTATCTTTATTTGTAGACGTTTCGCCAACCAGTGGCTTTATCATTACGATACAAGGACGTAATGTGAAGGTAGAGGTATATACAAAAGATGAGGTAATCAGTCCCTCAGCGTTGGAGGTGGTGACGAGCACCGTATCTTGAAGACTGAAGCATAGGCATAAATGTTTGCGCTTATATACTGGCATCAGGTGAGGGACTTGCAGCAGACGAAGGCATTATTGTCACTGGTAGGCGGGATTCCCCAGTGGAGATAGGTCATATCCAAGGAATGGGCCAGTAGTAAGCAAGAAGGTTGTGGAGAACTTTCAAAACCAGGGAAATAGTGCTAATGACACTTAGATCATTTGTGTGCGCTCTCGCCTAGAGTATTGTTCAATATTGACGGCTTCTTTCAGGGCAGGAGAGAGATCAGAGCTGGAACAAATAAAGGGAGCATTTACGGCCTGCATAAAGCCAATAAAGCATTACTAGGAAAGCTTGAAGGTTCTAAATATGTACTACCTGGCGCGTAGAGATGCGTGATAATATATACGTGGAAAGAACTTGAAGACTTGGTCCCAAATCTGCACAAATCCATTTACATACTTAAGTGAGAGATACAAGAGAATGTGTAAAATAAAACCGGTAGAAAGTAGGGGTGCTTTGGGCGCAATAAGAGAACATTATATCAGTAGCCGTGGGCCAAGACCGTTTAACATTCTGCCACACATCAGAAACACTGCCACAACAAATGTACAAGTCTTCAAGAGGAGATCGGACATGTACCTTCGCCAAGTGCAATATCAACCAGGTTGTGATTTATTTGTGGGCCATCGAGCTGCCGGCAGTAACAACCTGGGTGGTCAGGCAAACACCAGACAACTCTGGCCCAGGATCGGGCTGTGGGAGTAGGAAAACTCTTGAAACTCTTTAAAGGTACATCAAATGGACCAAAAATCTTAAGCTTTCATTCTTTGTTTTCCTACATACCTCTTGTTTATCACATGTAATCTTATTGTTTGTGTTGGCATTGAACTGGTGTATCACATGCGTGTGTTAGTTTTGGCGCTGGTGGCGACACTGACTATGCATCATGTGTAGAATTATTGATAAGTGTAGTGGCACTGGTCCTGCGGCCCTAGTTTTTGGATTAAATTGACGTAAGTTCCCTTCTTTCGCAGGTTGAAGCTGGAGTGTGAGAAGTTGGCTAGTGAAAAGACCGAGATGCAGCGTCACTATGTTATGGTAAGCCAGGGTGGGAGCACGTCAGTGTGTGTTGGCACCACTAAGGTACCAGGAGTGTGGTCACAACAGTGACTGTTGTAATCATGGGAGAGAGAGAGAGAGAGAGAGAGAGAGAGGAGGAGAGAGAGAGAGAGAGAGGAGAGAGAGAGAGAGGAGAGAGAGAGAGAGAGTAGAGAGAGAGTGTGAGAGGGGTGAGAGAGTGTGAGAGAGTGTGAGAGGTGTGAGAGAGTGTGAGAGAGTGTGAGAGAGTGTGAGAGAGTGTGAGAGATGTGAGAGAGTGTGAGAGAGTGTGAGAGAGTGTGAGAGAGTGTGAGAGAGAGAGAGTGTGAGAGAGTGTGAGGAGTGAGAGTGAGTGTGAGTGTGAGGAGTGAGTACCTGGGGGGATGGGGTGTAGAATCGGATGAAGAATCAGATTAAGCAGTCAGTAGTAAAGGAAAGGAAGGGAAGAGAAGATAGGTAAGGCAGTCAACAGGTAGCGCTTCTTGTGTGTACATCTGGTGGACATACTGAACTGCTGCGTATGTGACAGTATTGTAGCTCCCCTCTTAACACACCTTGTCAGGAGAGTTGGAGAGAAGCGGGGGTAGAAGTAGGGGTGTGTGAGGGCCTGGAGAAGGTTTAGGGATAGACGAGACAGGATGGGGGCGTATAAGTGGGGGAGAGCCTGGAGAGAGAATTGGGTAGGGATAGGTTAAGCAGGAGGGGGTGTAGAGGTGACGGAAAGCCAGAGACAGAAGGCAGGCAGTAAGTACAGATATAGGTGAGGCAGGATGGGGCAGCATAATGACCCGTAATTATCTTACACCTATAATTATCTTGCCTATAATTACTTGTAACGACTAGTCATTACCATAATCAGTATTCACATGTAATCAGCATTTGCCTCTTGTTATAATTCTCTAACTTGCTTCCAATTTGTATTTGAATACCAATTACCATATTACCAGCCGGCGGATTGTAATATTGCTTACGGAGGTTCACAAGAGCAAGTGGAAGGAGCTTCTGAGAAGTATCACTTCCCTTACTTTATTGCTAATCCCTTCTTTATGATAAGTTATACAAATATAAGCTACATTTAAAACAGTAATGGGTATCTTCTTACCGTGGGGATAATTATCAGATAGGAATAAAGGAAAATAAAGACAGTCTCGGATAAAATTTCAAGTGAATGCGAGCCGGGCCCAAGACCCGGGCTCTAAAAGTGGGAAAACTGTGGGAACTCAACAGAGGTAACGGTATATCAAAGGTGTGATCGATAAGATGTTAGACACCTAAAACACATCTTTATTTTGTAAGTGAATTGTGTGTGGGGGGGGGATGGTGGATTAGAATATTGCGTACGGGGTGCATTGGTAAGCCAGCGACAAGCCTAGGTAAATAGTTTTCCCGAGTGGGTCATCAGATCACTAAAAACCCGTGTCAGGAAAAAAAAAATATTTCTGCTGATAGAACATTGTACATCCACCACCTCACTGTGAACTGTTGTACGCAGATTATTATTTCATTATTATTCGTGAGGGGTAACACATTGTGTGTAGAGATTACAGTAGTGGTGGCGACTCCCACTGATGTGTGTTCTCCCTGTTACAGTACTACGAGATGTCGTACGGCCTCAACGTGGAGATGCACAAGCAGGTGAGTACTCCTACACTCAGCCTCTCTTGTCACATTTCACTCGTGCATAATATCCTGTCCTCGTTGTTTCATCTCAGCCTTTAACATTAACAGTGTTTTATATTTTCTGGTTTTTTGAATGTCCCTAGAAATGTGTGTGTGTGTGTGTGTGTGTGTGTGTGTGTGTGTGTGTGTGTGTGTGTGTGTGTGTGTGTGTGTGTGTGTGTGTGCGCGCGCCCATAGAGAGGGAGGTAGTTTGCCGATGGTTACATTAGATCGATACTCGTTCAATATTCTGTATTGAATGTATCATCAATCTTTGCAGTGATTTCGGTTAGAGTGAGGGAGAGTGGCGTCAGGGGCTCATGTGTGCAAGAGTTGTGGGTTCAGGAATGCATTCAGTTAAAAGTAATTATTTATTGACGAAATGTTCGAAAATGAGCTCTGCTCCCTTTCCTTCCTCACCCCTTCCATCTTTCCTGGTAGTTCCTCTTCCCCTCCTGTGTGTGGGAGATAGAGCATCCTGAGAGATAATTTCCTAGTACTACCTTACTGATCTCTCCCAGCTAAGACTGGCAAGTTTTATTTTTTTTTTTTTTTTTTAGGTATGCAAACCTATTCTGTGAGAGGGAATATGATAGGGGGGAAAACAACTATGTTAACTTTGTTAAAATAGAGTAGAAAGACGCGCGTGTACCCAATTTTGTTAAATAAAAAAATCATAAGTCCCCAGCAAACGAGTGTGTGTGGGGGAGGGAGGGGAGGATTGGGAAGGAATTTACCAAGGGTGAATAAATCACCATTCGCATTTCTTTATCGTCTCTGTGGGTGACGAATGGCTGGGATTATTGCGGCCATTGTGAGGGGGTCAGGAGTGTGAGTGTGTGTGATTGAGAGACAGATGAGGCTGTGGGCGGGCGATGGTGGTGGATTCACGGTTTTGGGTGAACGAGGTTGGTGAGTTAGTTGGAGTTGGAAGAACGTGTTTGGAGAATTTTTTCTGCTGTAGGATTTACGACGACTGTCCTGGGCAGAGAAGTTGTATTATGTGATGCAAACTTTGTGTACTTAAATATTGAATACAAGACACTGGGAGAACACACACACACACACACACACACACACACACACACACACACACACACACACACACACACACACACACACACACACACACACACACACACACATGACATGGTGACAGCAGTAAGACAAGAGAGAGAGGGGTGGGTGGATTGCATATTCTTGGACTGCAAGAAGGCGTTTGACACAGTTCCACACAAGAGATTGGTGCAAAAACTGGAGGACCAAGCAGGGATAACAGGGAAGGCACTACAATGGATCAGGGAATACTTGTCAGGAAGACAGCAGCGAGTCATGGTACGTGGCGAGGTGTCAGAGTGGGCACCTGTGACCAGCGGGGTCCCGCAGGGGTCAGTCCTAGGACCAGTGCTGTTTCTGGTATTTGTGAACGACATGACGGAAGGAATAGACTGAGGTGTCCCTGTTTGCAGATGACATGAAGTTGATGAAGAATTCACTCGATCGAAGACCAGGCAGAACTACAAAGGGATCTGGACAGGCTGCAGACCTGGTCCAGCAATTGACTCCTGGAGTTCAATCCCACCAAGTTCAAAGTCATGAAGATTGGGGAAGGGCAAAGAAGACCGCAGACGGAGTACAGTCTAGGGGGCCAGAGACTACAAACCTCACTCAAGGAAAAAGATCTTGGGGTGAGTATAACACCAGGCACATCTCCTGAAGCGCACATCAACCAAATAACTGCTGCAGCATATGGGCGCCTAGCAAACCTCAGAACAGCATTCCGACATCTTAATAAGGAATCGTTCAGGACCCTGTACACCGTGTACGTTAGGCCCATATTGGAGTATGCGGCACCAGTTTGGAATCCACACCTAACCAAGCACGTAAAGAAACTAGAGAAAGTGCAAAGGTTTGCAACAAGACTAGTCCCAGAGCTAAGAGGTATGTCCTACGAGGAGAGGTTAAGGGAAATCAACCTGACGACACTGTAGGACAGGAGAGATAGGGGGAACATGATAACGACATACAAAATACTGAGAGGAATTGACAAGGTGGACAAAGACAGGATGTTCCAGAGATTGGACACAACAACAAGGGGACACAGTTGGAAGTTGAAGACGCAGATGAATCACAGGGATGTTAGGAAGTATTTCTTCAGCCACAGAGTAGTCAGGAAGTGGAATAGTTTAGGAAGCGATGTAGTGGAGGCAGGATCCATACATAGCTTTAAGCAGAGGTATGATAAAGCTCACGGCTCAGGGAGAGTGACCTAGTAGCGATCAGTGAAGAGGCGGGACCAGGAGCTCGGAATCGACCCCCGCAACCTCAACTAGGTGAGTACACACACACACACACACACACACACACACACACACACACACACACACACGAGAGACAGACAGACAGACAAACAAGGTGAGGGGTGTGTGCGTGCCTCACGCAGGTTGATATTTAATTTAGCAGTTAACATGGTAATCACAGTTGATATCTTCCATTGAAGTTTGGTTGTTCTGTGGGAGGTAGTGTTAAAATCGCCTCTTAGTGTGTTTGAAGTTTAATTTTAGAACTGCTTTATTGGTGCTTGAAGTTAGCTTATAGAATGGACGAGTTGAATGCAAGACTCTCTTGATATGCTGCATTTAACACTTTTTTATATAAATATTAACAAAATATTCCTTTATCTTTTCCTGACAGACGGAGATTGCCAAGAGGCTCAACGCTATCATAGCTCAGGTTCTTCCCTTTTTATCTCAAGAGGTGAGTTTGTGTGTTGTGTGTGTGTGTGTGTGTGTGTGTGTGGGTGGGTGGAAGGAGAGAAGGGAAGGGAAGAGGGAAGGAATGGGATTGGATGGATGGATATCACCGAGTTGTGTTTTCAGGGGTGGAGACTGATCGTCATCACTAATTTCTAGCCTCTTGGGCCTTGCCATATCCACTTTTGAAGCTGTGTATTGGGTTTGCCTCCACCACTAACTCGTCCGACTCATTTTACTTTTCAGCCACTCTGAGACTAAAAGAATTACGTACATTCCTTTGGGTCACCTGTGTCTTCAGCTTCCACCTGTGTTCTTTTGATTGTGGTCAACTTTAACAGTCTGTTCCCATCTGCCCTGTAAATTCCTCTTAAGATTTTGTATCGTAGTTATATCTCACCTTATCTTTCTCTCCAAGCTCATTAGGTTTAGTCACTTAACCTCTCCTTATAGTACATTTGTTGGGTTCTGGTGTGAGAGAGACTAAGGCTTGCATCTTGCCAGATACTGATGGAGACACACTGGTTGATCTGACCTGGTCTCTTGTTGATTTGAAGTATGCTCCCTCAGTGCAGTTATTTGTCTGTCGTGAGTTCAAGGTTGAATTGGCGTGCGTGTTTGACCAGGTATGGGCCCACTTTTCAGGCCACGTCACTTGAAGAATTTTTTGTTGAAGCTCCTGGATGCTGTCTTTTCACATGCCGTTCACATTATCCAGTTTGTAATTCTGTAGATGTACTCGTTATGTTTACCCCTTGCCCTTTCTCTCTAATATTTGCAACTTCTCTCCGCCCATGCTGGACTGTCCGGTCTGTCCTCGCCTCATAATCCCATGACTTTGCTCAGTAGTTTCTAGCTCTCCTGCTTATTTCTTGGTTTTATATGGTTTGATTTACTCTGTTCCAAGCTCTCTTGCACTTTCCCTTGACATCTTTACTTTTTTTTTATTAAATTTTGAGTGTACTGTTGTTTTATGCTTTGAGTCTGTTACCTTCTTCCTTTCTTGTACAGCTGTTTGCTTCTCTTCCCGTTCTCTCCAAAAAATTACATGCCAATCAGAGTTCCCCTTTCTATAGTCCTAGGTCCTCTTAGTCCCTTCGTTTCTTTTTTTGCCCCCATTCATGGTGTACTTAAAATTGAGTACCACGTGATTGCTGGAACCTAGTTTTTGTGTGTGTGTGTTGTGTGTGTGTGTGTGTGTGTGTGTGTGTCTGTGTCTGTGTGCGTGTGTCTGTGTGTGTGTGTGTCTGTGTGTCTCTGTGTCTGTGTGCGTGTGTCTGTGTGCGTGTGTCTGTGTGTGTGTCTGTGTGTGTTTTGTCAAAGGTATTTCTTTACCAACACATTTTTTTGTGGGTGTGTTATAGATGGTATTAATTGTCTCCTCTCGCAGCACCAGCAGCAGGTGGCCACGGCGGTGGAGCGGGCGAAGCAGGTTACAATGACGGAACTCAACGCAATCATTGGGGTGAGTTTCCCCTCAATCTTATCCCTCTTACTTTCTCTCCTTATCCTAAACAGTTATCGGGGTAAAGTTTTATCCTCAGCCTTGCCTCCCTTACCCTCCTAATTCATCCTTCCAAGCAAAAGTCTGGATTTCATCCTCCGACGCCCATCCCACCCATATTGCAATCTCCATCCTGCCCCTCTTGCAACCCCCCATTGTTTCATTTTTTTTTTCTCGTGCAAACGACTTCATAATTTGGGCCTCACGGTTAAATCAGCACATTTTGTGTGGTACCATTGGTGCTGTGCATTTTGTGCTGTACAGATATTTTCATAGTTTATCACTTCAAATTAGTTACTGCTATATGTAGTGTGAAAGGAGCAAATAGATTTGTCAATATTTTTGTTTTTGGTACTGTACCGACCACCAGGTACATAGAATATTTTGTATATTTTTTGAAAAAGACCGTATTAAGTACACAGTTAGGGATCATTGTCCAGTGATTTTCAGTGGATAGATACAGGAATGATACTTGTAGTTACAAAAATTATATATATTGTCTTTTGCACGGGCTAGTACTCTAGGAGAGTCCGTTTACTTATTGTACTCATTTTAGTCCCCTTATAGTGCTCATTTTTGGTCTCCTTGTAGTACCCTTCTGGAGTCCCCTTTCTTACGTAATGTTTGTGTACAGCAACAGATGCACGCGCAAGCGGGCATCCCCCACGGTGCCCACGCCCCCACGCTACCCATGGCACCGCACCCGTCGTTGGCGGGCATGCCGGGTCTGCCTCCGTCCACGGGCGCTCCTCCAGGTCTCCTCTCCGCTGTGTCATCCGCCTCGCTGATGGGGTTGCCCACACACCCGCTCTCCGTGCTGGGCAAGCCCGACCTGGGACGCTCCGACGATAAGAGAGAGCGAGCTGAGGAACGCGCCGCTGCACTACTTGACGAACGTGCTGTGAGTACCTTCCAGTGATGGGTCCACTCCAGTAGACACTTTGTTCTTAGTGTATTACGTGTCCTCTCTATCCTCTAACCCCTTCCAGTGGATACTTGTTCTTATGGCTTGTGTCCCACATCCTCGGGCGAACACTTGTTCTTAATATATTAAACTTTGTGTTCTCTGGGACTGTCTGGTTCCCAGTAGACACTTGTTCCTAGTATCTTAAACCTTGTGTTACCCGGGGCTGTTTGGTCCCCCAGTGGACACTTGTTCTGAGCCGCCTCTGCCTTGAGATTAATGTTAGTGATAGTATGTTATACCTGGTGTCCTCTCTGGGGCTGTCTGGGCGGCTGGAGGCTCACCCACCCACATGTATCAACTCCACGTTCCTTCTTTTATGTCGCACTCTTTCCTTTCTCCTTCTCTTGTCCCTCTCATCTATTGCCTTTTTCCTCAATTGCCTATTCTATCTTCGCTGGCTCGCCTCGTCTCGTTTCCTGTCTTGCTTCTCTTCCTCGCCTCCTCTCTTCCCTTCCTCCTTTCCTTGCCTCTCTGACTCTCTCAAATGTTTACTCTTTTCTTGTTGGGCCCACTCCGGCACTTGTTTCTCTGCCCCTCTGGTGGTAGTCAGAGGCGATACTTTCCCTGTACCAGAGCACAGGTAGGTCTTGTGAGGCTCTGCAGTGGTGAAACCATTTAGCATCTTCCCTTGTAGCTTACAGCAGGTGTACACTGTCACTCAGACTTCCAGGGGCTACACACAAACACACACACACACACACACACACACACACACACACACACACACACACACACACACACAGGAGCTCGGACTCGACCCCCGCAACCTCAACTAGGTGAGTACACACACACACACACACACACACACACACACACACACACACACACACACACACACACACACACACACACGTACGTACGTACCTCTTCCAGGGGATGCAGACACACCTACATAACTGCTCAGGGCAGTTGACACAATAGGCCAAAGGCTGTAAATACATCTACACGGTCGTCTAGGAGCCACATCCGCACAATCGTCCAGCCACATCCATACTGTCGTCTAGGAGCTTAGACACGGAACACAGTCGTACAGGGCTGTAGACAGTTTATAAATAACAAAAAAGGGCACCATACCGTGACTGGAACGATACACAAATAACCCGCACATAAGAGAGGCGCTTACGACGACGTTTCGGTCCGACTTGGACTTTGTAAATGGTCCAAGTCGGACCGAAATGTCGTCGTAAGCTCCTCTTTTATGTGCGGGTTTTGTGTACTGTAGACAGTTTCCCAGGGGCTTTAGATACACAGTCATCCAGCCGCTCAGTCATTTCCTCATGTCACTAGACCAGCTAGTCGAGTCACTCAGGCAGTGATGTCCTTAATAAAACCACCAGTCTGATGATTACAGGAAGTTGTGTGTGTGCGCTTGCGCGTGTGTGTACATGTGCGAACTTTTTGTTGAGACATAGGATATTGCTGTCATGAGAGTAAATTTGAACAATTTTTCTGTAGTTTGTGGGGTAAGAAAAAATGGCAATATAATTGCTTACTGGTGGAACAGGCTTCAAATTAATTTTGGTTATCTTTAATAAAGGAAGTCGTAAGAGTTACAGAAATTGAATATAAATAAAATTTGCCTAATGTCACCAGCATCAAGGTTACACCTGTCTGTCCAGTTATTCACACACTTGTCAGGAACACTCCTGGCTTGGGTCTTAATTAGGTGATGGCCCGTCGCTGGCCTCCCGGAGGAGGAGGATTGGTGATTATTATAATCAGAAAGAAGCGCTAAGCCACAAGGGCTATACAGCAAGGATTGGTGATGTACATGTGAAGGAGGATTGGTGATGTACATGTGAAGGAGGATTGGTGATGTACATGTGAAGGAACCATTAATTAATGGGCTTGCTGCAGGGGCCCAGTGATTCCATCCCTACGGCCGGGGATGGATGATTGCAGTCCTGTTAGCGTGGTGTCTTATGCTCTATAACGGAAGGGAGGGGGAGAACAAGTCTTCTTGTGTTATTGTTGTGTAACAATTAGCTGCTGTCAGTGATGTGTAGTTGGTGTCTTCATTCCGGTGGTGGTCTCTCTTCTTAGGGCCAACTCCGACTTTGGGTCGAAACCCAAACGCTGGGGTGACCCGGTGTGAACAGTGGTTAATGGTGACCCGGCCTGACTAGTGGTGTACAAGTTACATGCAGCCTTAACTTAAGACCCTAGGTAAACGATAGTTTTTGACCTAGCCAAGAAAACCGTGCCGTAGGCGTTTTTACAGTCCCCCATATATCTACGTGTTTTGTTCTTGCTTCCCCTTATTCGTTTTGTAAATGTCATGCTAAGGGCCCTTAGGGGATTGGACTTAAATTGTTAAATAACAGTGTGTCATTGTGACGTGCGCCGAGTTGTTCATTTCTTTTCATCACACATCTTTGACACTTCTCATCAGCGAACGGGCAATTTGAAGTATAGGGGTTGGGGGGGCCCTACCGCATAAAAATTTGCCCATTTAATCCACCACACAGGCGATGTAACAACGCCAGGAAAATTAGGGCACCATTAATACTAAGACAAAACACCATAAGTTTCCTGAAAAATACCTAAAGTCGGCCCCGTAAACCGGTTTGGGGTTTTCGTATGTTGGAAATACGCCCAGTAGTAAAAACCTTTTTAATCAGGCCCTTCCACCGGGAGGTGGTTCCCCCCCCCCCCGGCCCCCCGAGGGCTTTTGTTCCCCGGGAATACCCTCCGGGGTAGACTTAAGTGGAGCCCTCCGCAGCTTAAGTGATATCACACCCCTTTACCACTGTGGGCCATTCCCTTGCTTATCGGTCGAATCTATTCCGCTTTGAGTATCGCTCCGCTTATTATCTGCTAATTTTAAAAATTTTTTACATAGTGGCGAAGGCATTACGGGTAAAGAAGAAATACCCCCTGTTGTGTTTGCATTGCCCTCGTCTTGCCCGGTTCCGGCAGAATTGCTGTTTTTTGGTTAAGCCCGCTCTGGGGGTTTTTCCGGGGATCAACGCCCGCGGCCCGGTCCATACCAGGCTTCCCGAGGGATCGGGGCCTGATCAACTAGGCTGTTACTGCCCGCACGCAGTCCGACGTACGAGCCACACCCCGGCGACCCGGCACTACTTTAGGTACTGCCACTCCCCTTTTTTTGAAGGCAGCCGGGGGTTTATTGGCAATTCCCCAATGCTTGAGGGAGGGTGTTGAACTTTTGGGCCCCGGACACTTATGGTGTTTTCTCTTAGTGTACCAATGGGGCCCACTTTTTTTTGGGGGGATTTTGCATCGCCTGCCCAGCTTTTACTTTCGTAGGAGTTTTTCGTGTGCAGATTTGGGACATTCCTTTCTAACTGATTTTTATAAAATTTCTGTTATTTATAATCTGACTTTGGATACTGTTTGCAAATCATTAGCCCTTTAGTTTTTTTGATAGGTTGATTTGGTAGGGACTCTAGCTGGGGGCAGCATAGTCCATATGGACCGTGCTGCCCCCAGCTGAATGCTGCTCTTTAGGGTTTTCCCATCTTGTATATAGGTTTTCAGTAGGGGGTTTCAGTCACAGCCTTTCCTTTCTTTCCCCTTCTAACAGCCACCTGTAGGGTGTTTCCCGGGGGCAAAGCCCCTGCGACCCCGTCCCTTTACCAGGCCTCCCGATGGATCAGGGCCTGATCAACCAGACTTTTACTACGGGCCCACGCAGTCAACGTAACGCCCTTGATTTGTTTGTAATAACTCCAGCAACTACACTTGTTGACCCACTCTTGCAGCCTCTTTCCCGGCTCCTTTTCCACCCTCCAGTTTAAACTCCTTCCCCCCGGATTAACGCTATGGGGGGGGTATGAAGTCTCTCCCGCATTCATAGACAAAAAAACTCACCCACGGACCCCCCAGATTTCTTGTTGTTGATGAATGGGAGAGGGGAAGTTTGAAGGTAGTGAAAGGGTCAGGGGTTTAGTATGGAGGCGAGAAAAGTGCGGGGTTGGGATGGAGGGTGAGATTTAAGCGAGGGGAGAAGGATAAGATGTAAGGGTTAGGGTGGAATTAGAGATTTTTTCGAGGTAAAAAAATAAAAAAAGTTGGTTAAAATGGAGGTGAATTTTTGTGTGAGGTGGGGAAGGATAAGAGTGTATTGGGAGCGGAGAGGAAGATAACGTATGTGGGGTGGGGTGCTAAATGTCAATATTTTTGTTAGAATACAAAGAGGGTGAGGGAAACTGTAAATCTGCTTAGTTCTTCCGTGGCGTCATGAACCTTTGTAATTGTACTTGTGAGGGTAGGAACGTAGTTTCACGTGGTAAGAGATACCATTCGAGTCCGGGATGCGAAAAAAAAAATAGTGCACGGGGTGGCTATAACGCAGCATTAATTGATATGAGTGCGATGTCATGTATGTAGGTGGGGGTAATACAGATTTTTGGGTGATACTTGTTACAACTACTAAACCATTACCACAAAATCACGGAGGCTGGAAGAAAACCAAAATGCAGATGTCACCTATATGAATTTCACGAATTCATTTTACAAATGTGACTATGGGGTGACAACTCGTGAGATGAGTTAAATTAGGTACAAGAAGAAAAGGCAAATGATTTTTGTTTTCTGAAGACAGAGAAAAAAGCAAACAAGGCTAAATTTAGACTTAGCTAAGTAAAAAGCTGAATTCCCCAAGACACTGGCCTGGTGTCTTACGTTTTCATCTTCACAGCAGACATAGATAAAATCACTAGCCAAAACTAAGGCAAATACTGCAAAAGTATCTCTACCAAGTACCAAATCAACCAGGCTGCGATGGATATGTGGGCCAGCAGACCGCCAGCAACAGCCTAGACCAGACAAGGCTGGTCTAGGGCCGTGCATCGGGAGTAGAAAAAATATCGAAACTCGCCAGAGGTATATCAAAAGTATCCCTTTCCTCTTCCTCCTGCTTTCTCCCTCCACTTTCCACTCCTACCATGACTGCAGCGTAGCTCATTGGT